TTTTTTAATTTTAGGGAAGGGTCTACAGGTTGTTCAGGGTCTCACTACTAGATCGGGCTTGTAGTGATCTGCCTATTTACAGCCTCCCAAGAGCTGGGATTACAGGCACACGCCATCACACCCAGTCTCAATTGCTCTCTCAGTGTGCCCGGAGGCGGGACCAGCACTGCAGGCCGGGGGATCAAGCCCCCGGCCCCTGCTCCTGCTTGCAGGCGCTTCAATCCGCATTAATATCTAAAATGTATTTAAAAAATTTAAAAATCAGGCCCCAAAAAAAAATCCAATCAAAACTGGGCGAGTAGGGAAAAAAAAACTGGGCAGGTAAGGGGACTGGGGAGATGGCTTAGTGGAATAAGCGTTTCCCTGGCAAGCGCAAGGGCCTGAATTCAATCCCCAGTTTAAAAAAAAAAAAAAAAAAAAACTCGGCAGGTGAAACGAATAGACACTTCTCAGAAGAAGTACAAGTAGCCAATAAGTATATAATTTTAAAAATGTTCAGCGTCACTGGCCAGGAGAGAAAGGCCCTAAATCCTTCGCAGCCTCACACCTGTTCAGGGAGCACAAGTCTCCCTGCTATTCCCCACACCGCCGCGCGGTGTCGCTGTGGAGCCCCGCCGGTCCAGCCCGCAGCCTTCCCGAGTTCTGCTCTCTGCTGACAAGGGATCCCGGGACTCGGGTGTGTGGCTTCGCTGCCGGCAAGGCGGAAACTTCCTCCCGGAGCCGCTGTCAGCCTTCCGGTCCCTGCGCAGTGGTGCGGCTCGACCTCCTCTGTCGCTATACTAACCTCTGTTGTCCATTCATTTCCTTAAACCCCCCCTCTTCCTTCTTTACGCTTATTTTCCAAGTTTACTGCTTCACCTGGGGAGCGCCTTAAATGTTTTCAGTTTGCTCTATATCGCAGCCATTTGTAGTAAATTTATTTTTGTTTCCTGGGTTATGTATTAATTTACACTTGTGTATCCCTCCGTTCCTCCTTCCTCCCTACCTCCCTTCCTTCTTCCTCTAATTATTGCCTCTTTCTCCTCTTTCCTTCCTTTCCTGCTTCCTTCTCTCCTTCCTCCCTTCCTCCCTCCCCTCACCTCTTTGTGGTGTGCTCCTGTTTGTATCTGAACAGCTCCTGATCAGTTGTTTTTGTGTTTGTTTGTTTGTGTGTTTCAGACAGGATCTCTCTATGCGGTTCGGGTTGGTCTTGCGCTCACTTGTGCAGCCCCTAGGCCGGTCTCGAACTTAAAGAGATCCTATCCTCTCAGTAGTCTCAATCTCCGAGTGCTACAAGCTTGCGCCACCACACCCAGTTTGAACACCTCTTTCTGTCCTTCAGGTCTGTCAGTCTTGCCCAGACCTTCTACTTACACGGAAAAAAAGAGGGGTGCTCCTGGGTCCAGGGACAGAGCTGCAGTACTGGGGTCTCTGTCCACTTCCCACATGGCCTCAGTGCTGCAAATTAGGGGTGCCAGGACCCTTGAGTTTACTTCCACCTGCCAGAGTATGTGAAATGTGTCCCCTGGGAGGTGTGTGACCCGTGCTCCCAGCCCAGTACATCCCGGGTCCAGGGCCTTCCCCGGGTGGGAGGTGTTAACCAGCTCGATGCCATGCTGCGCTCTCTGCCTCTCTGTATCTCTCTCTGTCGGATCTGTCTGTCTGTCTCTCTCTATCTCTCTCTGTCTATCTCTCTCTGTCTCTCTCTTTCTCTCTCTCTCTCTCCCCCCCTCACTGTGCATCCCCAATACCATGCAAAATCATCATGGTAAGCAAAATAAGCCAGATTCAGAAATTCCAGCATCACGTGTTTTCTTTTTTTTTTTTTTTTTTTGGGAACCGAGGATTGAACTCAGAACCTTGTGCTTGCCAGGCAGGAAAGTATTCGGCTGAGCTATCTCCCCAACCCTTTTCTCTGTTATTAACAACATAAAATTTTCAAAAATAAATCAATCAACAAGTAAATAAAATAAAGGAGAAATGATGGGAAACTAGAAGGTAGACTCTTGGAGAAAAGAATGGAGATGGGGAAGAACAGGGAGGGAGGGTGAAAGGATTGAAAGTTATCAAGAAGAGGGCCTGCCGCTTAGCTCAGTTTTTTAAGTGGCTGCTTCAACAAATCAGTCAGGCTCAGGTTGCTGTGGTCCGATCCCCACAACTCAAGCCAGCCAAACCTGCCCTGAAGGCATTCGGAGCAAAAAAAGAAAGTTATCAAGAAATGCCATAAGTGTGCATCACTTCCCTGAAATGACCACCAGAGTTCAGTATCTCAAACATGCATAATAAAAAGTCATGAAATAAGAAAAGTGAGATTAATGTTTAAAATGTCACATACTGGACTGGGGATATAGCTCAGGGGTAAAGCACTTGGCCAGAAATCCAAGGTCCTGATTCCATCCCTAGCATAACAAAATACAAATAAGAATCGTAATAGTGG